TCTTTCCGATAATTATGCAAGCCTAAAATGACTCGTTCATTTTTATTTAATATTCACAGACTGAGCCGTTGTCGGCGCACCTCTTCAATTTAGAATCAGAAAGATGGCGGCCATTAAGATCAAGGCTCTCACCAATATTTACATCCGGCAGGATAAAAGAGATGTTCACTCTCATACTCGAGTGTTCCCAGCACTTGGAAAAATACTTGGACAAACAAATTGAAAAAGGAGAGCCCATCGAGTGTCGCGAGTTAACAGCAAAATTCACCACTGACGTCATTGGTTCCTGTGCATTTGGAATCGATATGAGCGCAATGTCAGACGAGGATAGCGAGTTTCGTCGAATGGGCAGAGAAGTGTTCGCTGTAAATTTGGAAAATATCGCACGATTTAAAGCGAGGCAATTCCTGCCAAAGTTATACGCGATGCTCGGATACGTATTCTCTGACAAGAAATACTCGCCGTTCTTCACGAAAGTCGTTGCAGATTCTATAAAATATAGGAAAGAGAATAACATCGTTAGGCCAGATTTTATCAATATGTTAATGGAACTTAAAGAACATCCAGATAAATTAGAAAATATCGGTAAGTTTGGCAAAATATTTTTATCGTGTAGTTTATCAAAAATAGTGAAATCTTTTGCTCTCTCTCTCTCTCTCCCTTTTTTCCAATACATTAATCTCTTGTTTAAAGAAAAATTGGACAATAACGATGTGAACGTATTGTATACTTTTACCAATTCTTGGATTTCCATTTATTATTGGAACACTTCACACTTTAATACAATGTATTAATTACGAAATATTTATTTTGATATATATTTCTTTGTTTATATTGTTCGGTTACATTACCGAATACACTTGATGATATAATTTTTAAGTGAAACACGATATTTTTCATATCAAAGCCGATTTAAGACGAAAATTAAAAATAAAAAGATTGCGTTTCAGGTTTCCTTTTTATGTTATTATCGTTTAAAAACATCACTGTAGACAAGCAAACCTCCCTGCAGTAGTGTGTCGGTATTGCAGATTACTGTACTTCTTGTGTCTTGACGTGCCCTATATTCTTTGGTGTAGGGAGGTTTGCTCGGCTACAGGGATATTTTTAAACGTAAATAACTAAAAAAACGAAGCCTCAAACGCAATTTTTTTATTTTTCATTTTCATCTTATTTTCGCTTCTAGAATCATCCTTGAAATTTTCCACCAGGATTAACTGAGCACCCTGTATGTGTACATACATATACATTTTGAAAGATGCACTTTCATTCAAAGATAACACAAATTTTCTCTTAATTAGGATAATATGATTGAGAACGATTAACATAAATGTCAATGCTTAAATAGCTCATATTAAATCTTCAATGTACAAAATCTATTTTAGCTTCAAAAAAGCGTCAATATATGTATCGGTTAATTGATAAAAATTATTTTTTGCAGAGTTAACGGATACATTACTTGCTGCGCAAGCATTTGTATTCTTCGTAGCGGGTTTCGAAACCTCTTCCTCGACGATGAGCAACGCTCTCTACGAATTAGCTCGAAATCAAGACGTGCAAAATAAGTTACGCAAAGAAATCAGAGCGTGTTGGGATAAAAATAATGGACACTTGAAATACGAGGATATCAAGGGAATGGAATACTTCGACAAGGTATTTAAAGGTACGTGTAAGCAAACAACTTGTAAATAACAAAGTATTTTTCACTGAAAATTTTCATTTTACATTGTTCGTTCTTTGTCGCAAAAGTTAATGATAAAATGAAAAATCGAAAAGTGTTTAATACTTGAATATCACTATAATATTATTAGATTGTTATAATACTTGTTTGGATTGATTTCCGACGAACATAACAAAACCTGAGTAAACGTTACGTTTACGTCAATCGTAACTGCTATCTTCTCACTGTTGTAACGAACGAAAGTTACATCTTTGAGAATTTTTTACTAAAACACTACTCGTATTTATCACGTCGATTTGATTTCGTACGTGTAGGTAATAAAAGGAATATAATGATTGTAGTTAAAAAATACCAAATGAGAATTGCAATAATATTTCTATTGACTGTGTATTTGTAACGGAATCAGTAAAGCACAGTTTATGGCAATTTCAGAGTTTTAATTTCCGATAAATACCTGATATAAACCGTTTCGTTGACAAAAGCTTCATATTTCTCTTTTACGCGTTAACAAATTACTTGGCATAAAAAAGATCACTATAACGATATGTAGGCGATATTGTTTATAAGATATAAAGATCCTCCAAATTTCTTCATAATACGTATATCACATTTTTTTATTTATTTGCTAAAAGTAGCTTGTAAAAAAAAGTAAAAATTCACAGTTGGAAATTCAGAATTATACAAAGTGGTAATTTTTATTGGTTACCTTGCAAAGCTAATAAAAACAGTCATAATTATTTAACGACTAATATTTCAAAGTAAAGTATCTAAATTTAATAATGCACAAAATAATAATTCGTAGTTTACGATTGCTGACAAATTAATGTATTAGTTAATTTAAATTATTTGTTTGAACAGAAACCTTACGGATGTACCCACCAGGAACAATTTTAATGAGGCAAGCAATGTCTGATTATACATTCAATGAGCAACGCTCTCTACGAATTAGCTCGAAATCAAGACGTGCAAAATAAGTTACGCAAAGAAATCAGAGCGTGTTGGGATAAAAATAATGGACACTTGAAATACGAGGATATCAAGGGAATGGAATACTTCGACAAGGTATTTAAAGGTACGTGTAAGCAAACAACTTGTAAATAACAAAGTATTTTTCACTGAAAATTTTCATTTTACATTGTTCGTTCTTTGTCGCAAAAGTTAATGATAAAATGAAAAATCGAAAAGTGTTTAATACTTGAATATCACTATAATATTATTAGATTGTTATAATACTTGTTTGGATTGATTTCCGACGAACATAACAAAACCTGAGTAAACGTTACGTTTACGTCAATCGTAACTGCTATCTTCTCACTGTTGTAACGAACAAAACACTACTCGTATTTATCACGTCGATTTGATTTCGTACGTGTAGGTAATAAAAGGAATATAATGATTGTAGTTAAAAAATACCAAATGAGAATTGCAATAATATTTCTATTGACTGTGTATTTGTAACGGAATCAGTAAAGCACAGTTTATGGCAATTTCAGAGTTTTAATTTCCGATAAATACCTGATATAAACCGTTTCGTTGACAAAAGCTTCATATTTCTCTTTTACGCGTTAACAAATTACTTGGCATAAAAAAGATCACTATAACGATATGTAGGCGATATTGTTTATAAGATATAAAGATCCTCCAAATTTCTTCATAATACGTATATCACATTTTTTTATTTATTTGCTAAAAGTAGCTTGTAAAAAAAAGTAAAAATTCACAGTTGGAAATTCAGAATTATACAAAGTGGTAATTTTTATTGGTTACCTTGCAAAGCTAATAAAAACAGTCATAATTATTTAACGACTAATATTTCAAAGTAAAGTATCTAAATTTAATAATGCACAAAATAATAATTCGTAGTTTACGATTGCTGACAAATTAATGTATTAGTTAATTAAAATTATTTGTTTGAACAGAAACCTTACGGATGTATCCACCAGGAACAATTTTAATGAGGCAAGCAATGTCTGATTATACATTCAATGGACCAAAAGTTACAATACCAAAGGAAACGGCAATATGGATCCCAGTATTAGCGATACATCGAGATCCTGATATCTTTCCAAACCCTGATTCATTTGATCCTGAAAGATTTAACAACGATGTTGTTGCTGCAAGACATTCTATGAATTATCTGCCTTTTGGTGACGGACCAAGAAATTGCATTGGTATGTTAAAATATACAGGGTGTCCCACGCAACCGGAACAGGCTGTACCACCTAAACGGTTGGAAATAGAAGCAGCTGTTATGGATCGAAGTTAAATGGTATCGGACGGTGCATAATATGCAAATGACTTTATACACTTTTGTGCATCCGTATATCAGAAAAATGCAACAGCCCCGTATTTTTAAATGGTAACCTGTGTTTTTGACAGCACCAATTGATGCAGTTTTTTGTGCTCTGTATAAAACATACTTATGCCGTAAACTTATTCGTTAAGAAGTTATCGTAGCTAAGAGTTTTCTGAATTATTTCGGTCTGTTGGCAAGTGTTCTGGAGTATCTACGTTGCAACAAATGTTCGAACAATCTTCCGTTGCAGTCTAAGCTCTTTTCCATCCGCTTCTTAACGTACAAGCACAAAACTTAAAAAAAAAAATAAAAAAGTTTTTAAAAAGACTTTGCATTACTTTTATGTAGAGCACAAAAAACTGCATCAATCGGTACAGTCAAAAACATAGGTTTCCATCTTTAAAAAAGGGATTGTTGCATTTTTTGTATGCACCGATGCAGAAAAGTGCATAAAGTTATTTGCATATTATGCACCATCCGATACTATTTAACTTTGATCTATAATAGTGTCTTCTATTGCCAACCGTTTAGAAGGTACAGCCTGTATACTTAATTGCATATTCTTTTACAACGAGGAAGATTAACCTAAAAATATTGCAGAAAATAAAAATAAAAATGCAGATTATGTTTAATCTTACTTCTGAGTGCTAAATCCTTTGTAAAAATTAGCTTGTATTTTATACACTTTTATTATAGTAACTGGTAGAAAATATTTGTTTCCATATTTTTTTATTATATTGTTAAACATTGGGTTATTTTTACATTTTTAAGGCTTGCCTCTGTTATTTTACTCACTTTTATATTTTTTTTTATTAATTTCTCCAATCTTAAGTGCGATACTAGTTGATGAACAGTTTGTGATATATTTTTTGTAAATTCCATAAATTTTTATAAATTCGTATTTCATACTTCTTTTTTCATTTTTAACGAATAATGCAAATGCGTTTTGTTTAATAATTTTCTAAAAAGTACATTATAGTTTCATCGTTCTTTTATAGGTACTGAATTTGACTAATATGTATGTATGTAAAGTGCATACCTGTAATTAACATAAGTAACATATCATTTTCAGGTGCACGATTCGCAGTTTATCAAACCAAACTTGGACTAATTACAATTATTCGCAATCACAAAGTGGACGTATGCGAAAAAACTATGACGTCTTATGAATTTGACCCAGGAGCAATTTTGTTAGCACCGAAAGATGGAATATATCTGAAGATAACTAAATTATAAAAATAATACAAAAACATGTACAGTATCACCATATTTGCATTAAATTGAAGGTTGTTCTAATTTTCATAAAAATTTACTCGTGTTACGAATATACAAACAATTTCTAGTCAAATGTCAAATGTACATTAATATTCGGTCATCATGGTACTTTAATCATTATTACTCTATATACATATATGTACTGTCCGACAAACCTAAAGTGAAGCTTCTGACGTCGCACAGGGCCTAAAAGGGCCTCGCTGTTAGTAAGCCAATAGGGATAGAATAAGGCTATCGCAGTTACTCTTAGGTCTTCCCTTAGAGTTAGCCAGTAGGAATAGAATAAGGCTATCGCACTTACTCTTCTATGAACAATAGATGACGATCGGGTCTCGTTCAAGCAGTCGGTAAACAGGTGAGCAGTCGATAATTGACCGGAATGATATTTTCAAGCGCTCGAAAAAAAATTAAGTTTACGTCCCGCAGACACCATAAACAGGCGAATAAATGCCTGCGCGACGCCAAACGACGTGCATCACGGTAAACTTTGTTTTTTTTTTTATCCCATGTTCCAAAAATTTGTCTATTATTTCGATAAACTTATTTTACAGGTTAAAATTCAAGCAATCCAATAGTATTTTTCCAAAATTATTCTATGAGTGGGAAACTTTAGCAGCGATTATTGCTATGTTTATTGCTATGAAATGAGCCCAAGGTCGAAATATTATCTTTAAACAAAGCTGAAATATTACGGTTAAAGTGACGACATGTCGTCTGATCTTGTCAAATTTTTCAAAATTTTAACATTAAATAGTGGCTGTTTGATGGCTTTCATTGGCTCTAAAATGTGACTGTCGGTCTGTGGTGGCACGATATATTTCATTGCAGCCAGATATTTTTTAGCTCCTTGAGCAATTTTTTAATGCGCCGAAATCTACTTTTATTATTCAGGAATAGGAAAAGAATATTTACATTTCAGATTTATAACTGTTAAAAAATACTAATACATTTCCTGAGGCTTCCTTTACAATAAAAATTTATTGTGTATGAGTCGCTTAGAAATTAACGTCTGCGCTATTAAATATGTCTTAGGCGCCAACGTATGTAGGTAAGAAGACAAGGCTACCAAATAATTTTTAGTTTTCCGTTCTTTTATCAGCGTGTTACATTATCGACAGCTGACTTAAATTCGTTTGTCTAAACCAAAGCTGCTTAACTTCTTGCTCACGAGCAAATTTCCCCTTCCGCGGTTCCCCCACTATGCGACTGAGATGATCTCGCTCGAGTTGAGGACGCGAGGAGTCCTCCCACCACAACTCCAGCGATAGTTTTTTGGTACGAAATGACTGGTACGAACACGCAGAATGTGTAACATAAACAAAAGGCACTCGCTGGAGTTGTGGTGGGAAGACTCCTCACGTCCTCCCGTCGCGCAGCAACTTGAGCGTGATCATCTTAGTCTAAACCATTTACCTACAACGCAACTTCCCCTCAAGCGCCTGCAGTGTAAGACCCAAGAGTAGTGGGGATGACCTGAACCGCCTATTTTTCCCCTATTCTGCTAGGCTGTGACGTCAGAGGCTTCACTTTAAGTTTGTCGGACACAGTATCTTAGCACAATGAAGTTAACGTATTTATATTTTCATATTCTGTCAAAGCATATTTCCTATACTTAATATAAATGCAAATTAAAAATTATTAATTTATTAAATAATATATTTTGTCAGATATCCCTTTTGTTTACATATAGTAACCGATTAGGGATATTATTAATAATTTTTTGTAAATAATGTGCCGTAATATGCTCCCAATCTTTTATGAATCGCCGCTTCAACTCTTCCTTTGTTATAATTTGTGTTATTCAAATTTTTTTTCGCTTTAAGTAAACATATAAATTTTAGTTGCCCATATGTGGTGTAGGGCCTACTTTGATTGCAATTTATTTTAATTTTTTAAAATTAGTTTAAATCTAGTTTTACATTTAGGCCCGATACATACTATCGATCCGTTCTTGGTTCGATCAAATATTGTTCGACGGTTTAACCCTTACAGTGCCGACTGACAGAATTGTACCTAAGCGAAGAATACCGAACCAATTTGATGTAATTTGGTAAGGTTTGAGAAAAAAATCATAAAAAAAAAGTAAGAATGATATTTACAAAATTCGAAAAGGAACATATTACGAAATAAAGGGAGAATAAATTAATGCCAATTGTATTCCAATATTTGTTGAAAATCATACTAATAATACTTATTCAAAATCATTAAGAAAAATGAAAAAATAAGTTTTCATTTATAAACAGTATTTGCAAATAAGAAGAATCATCGTTTGGTCATAGTTTGATGTAGTCTAGTGACTAGTAACACGTAGTATAAAGCATAAATATTGCATTTTCAATTATTTGTAACAAAATTTCTAATATCAAAACACAAAACTAAATGATAATCCCACGATGCGCAGCAAGCGTCAGGAGGATTACCAGCTACAAAACAAGTGATTCGTGTAGCTAGTATAACATCACTGAAATACAATTCAAATATTACTATTCGACTGCGGATGTTTATGCAAGTAAAATATGTCAAAATATGTAAGAAATATTCAAGAAATATGTAAATAAATATGTAGGAAATATGCAGGAAGTATGCAGGATATGCATGAAACATAGTATAATATATATTGTTATTTTGATTTGTTATAATTCGAATTACAATAAATTACCATAGTTTTTCCAAGTTATTGACTGTAAATTGATGACGTTTGTCAGTTAATATTAATTTGTATGCCGAAAGAGATCGTTCGACATCGCAAGACGTAATTGGGGCATATTTCAGTTTGTGCCAGTAGCGTGCCTCAAGCTCTTTTGTCCTTTCAACAGCTATACCTTTCAAAATGTCTGCAATTTTTGATATAGCATTAAAATTTGGATTTCTCCCTAGAACTGTTTGTATCTTTGTAGAAATTTTTCTTCCACAATCACCAGGTATAGTTTTTAAGTTCTCAGTAGTTTGATTAATTAGTTCCGCAGATTCAATTAGGGGCAACCCTACTGTCTCCAATTTTTTCACGAGTGGCAGTGTTCCGAAGTAAGCTCGTGCGAACGTTAAATCTGGCATAGTCTGTTCATTTCGCAACGCTTCTTGTGCCGATTTAATCGACGTTGCATCTTCTTCATTGAAACTTTCAATTATCTCTTTGATATTGTCGAAATGCGTGGCATAAAATAATGTATATCTATAAAACACTATTTAGATACTTACAAATGTTATCGTGTGAGAGCTCAATGATGGATAAAACGTATTTTCCGAGATGTACACAGTGAAATGCATATGCTGTTATATATGTATGGAATATGCGATAAAATTAATGCATATGTCGTTTAAGCGAAATATGCAAAACATGCATTATGCAAAATATGCAAGGTAAAAAATACATTTTCGATATATATGAATGACGTAATAAACTTCTATTCAAGTCCCACATCTTTATCTTCTTCCATTAAAAATATGCATTTGCATAAACATCCGCAGTCTAATTATTATAAACATTTATAGTTATCCGGCTATTGAAAATGTGTAATATTAACTTACTATTACTCACACAAATAATTTATTCAGCATTGATGGTTACTAATTGAGTTATAATTTTGCCTTCAGTATTCATCCGATACAAGATGTATGCATTCAGTACCATCCTTGAAAAAATTGAAAAAGCTACTTTTTTCCAAAATTTGAGAGTTCTTCTCTCGTCCAATAAATTTATGGGAGGTGTCGACGTAT